AATAATTCAGTGTTCATATAAGTGAGGTTGCCCACAGACCGATTTGTGAAGCAGGTGACATCTGTACAGTTCGTGTCGTAGAGAGACTCCAAGGAGGTGACGTTGAATACCGGGGACAATTCGTACATGGTTGCTGCAAAATAAGTTCAACAGTCGGAAAAAATTCACATCTCTTCGTGTATATAAGTTTATTTCATTTCAAATACTAGCGGATATTTTAATGTTCAAAGTTTTTGAGATTATTATAGAAAATGTATGATAGATGTTTATGTACCATGGGAAGTATATATTTTTTTAAGACAAAACGCAAGAACAACAGAAAAATCCTTAAGGCGCTATCACAGGCGGTGCCTGTGAGAAAGTAGCGATGCACATTGGATTTGGATCGCTGGAGATTCAAATCCATTTGGATAAATGTCTTCAGGAAGTTTATTCTACATAAACCTCAGAGTAATAAAAGACAATAGAGAGGCCTTTTCCATCCTCACATTGAAGGCAGCATAACTTTGTTTGTTTACGGGAAGTAAGTTGGACTATAAAACAGTGACGGTCGGTTTAGTTGTACTACGTTTACATTATTTCATTATTTGACATATTCCAACCAAATTTAGGTTAACAAAATGACAACCGTCATTTTGTATTGAATATTGTCTGTATGCAACTCGAAAGCCTCATGCAAAAAAAAAACAAAACGGAGATCATATTCTTTGTGTGACGTAAGTTGCACAAGAATAACTATTTAGTATATACAAACTCAAACTGAACATCGAGCAGAAAGCTTTTCAATCTTTTGTTCACAGAAAGGATATGACCTATGGTATACATATTAAAAACATATTTTTCATTTATGAATACAGTTTTTTTCATTTACATTAATGATTTTTCGTAAATTTTGATTTCATCGGCATAAATATTGAAAAAAAAACATAATGTCCGTCCACAAAGACCCCTAGATACCAATTTTGAATGAAATCACACAACAATATCAAATCTCAATCGTAATAATAAATATTCATGATTTCTAATCGAAAATCTCCGCTGGAAATGATACAAAAGAGAATTCTTAAAGTTATTTTCCGTAAGCCACAAGACTATTCAACGGAAATGTTAAATAATGAAACCAAAGTAATGGATGTCAGACAGCTATTCTTCTTGAAACTAGTTCTTAATCTACACAAAAACAAAAAAACGGCGACTAGTAGTAGCCATGTACATGATACGCGAAATAGGAACTATACAGGGTGTTCCTTAAACACATGCTAATATTTAAGGAGGTAATTCTAAGACCCATTTTAAGAAAAAAACTTCCTATGGACGTATGTTCTAAACGCCTAAACTTTTGAGATACAGGGTGGCTGAGTTTTAAAAAATAATCAGTTTTTTAATAATAACTGAGATAATTTTGCAGACATCTTTGGCATATTTGGTACACATGTTCCATGCCTCAAGACGCATTTTCTGATGTACACAAATTTGTATTTTTTCAAACAGTGGCATCCCTACGGGTTTCGCATTGAATATTTTTGGGGAAAAAGTACTACGCCAATGCTTTCTTTTCAAAATAAAATCATTTTTAAAATCCTCATTTATTTTTGAGAAAATTTGATCTC